TTTTTTTTTAAATAAATTATTTTCTAGCATCCAACTAACAAGCTGCCATGTCCAGTCTGACCAGGCTGATGCCATTAACCTGCTATCATTTAAACTAACGTCATCTCTGCTATGACATTTCTGGAAATCTTTTTTCAACTCTATCGCAAACAAAGAGCAGAACTTGCTCACTAGTGGAACCCAGTATCGGTGATGATGGCTGGCATACCTACCAGCTCTTCTTGAGGTCTCATTTAAGGAAGTTATTTATAATATTTTCATCTAGCCTGGCCACTTGTTTAATCCTTCGGGGCAGAACGCTAAGGTATCCAACATGTCGCCTGCAGAGGCCAGTAAGTCCTGCCCAGAGAAACAAGAGGCCACAGGTCAGAAGCATGGGCTCTGCAATCAGACCAATTAGCTCAAATCCTAACTCTGTACAGGCTGTGTGAGTTACTTCTCTTCTCAAAGCACTTCACAGGAATCAGCTCATCTAATCTGATATCAATCCTCCGAGATGTGACTTTTATGAATATACGCGTTTCACAGCTGAGGAAACTGAAGCACAGACATAAACTAACTTGCCCAAGGTCTCCAGGTGGGTAAGTTAGAGTCAGGCTTCAAACCTGGACAGGGAAGCTCCAGAGTCTGTGGTTTTTGTTCTCTCTGCACGTAAACTGCTTAGCAGTGCCTGACAGTGAGAGTTTTATAAATATTATCACTATTGCTATCAATAAAGATCACTCTCTGATTCTGACCACATCCCTCACATTCATGGTCACAGGAAAGCCAGGTGAATATGGACAACAAAACTGCAAAACAATGCAAAACATATGACCTTTTTTTAGAACTTTTTTTTTTAAATGTAGGCTCCAAGCCCAGTGTGGAGCCCCAAACTTTTTTGGGGGGGAGGGAGGGAGGGAGAGAGAGAGAGAGAGGGAGAATCCCAGGCAGGCTCCATGCTCAGCACACAGCCAATGTGGGGCTCCATCTCACAACCCTGAGATCATGACCTGAGCCAAAATCAAGAGACACTCAACTGACTGAGCCACCCAGGCGCCCCAGGCCCAAACTTTTTAATTCAATAATTAATTTGTAGTAATTTTAGTCTCGTAGAACTGCATAAAAGAAAGAGTTCAGGGTGCCTGGGTGGCTCAGTTGGTTAAGCGACTGCCTTCGGCTCAGGTCATGATCCCGGAGTCCCAGGATCGAGTCCCACATCGGGCTCCCTGCTCAGCAGGGAGTCTGCTTCACCCTCTGACCCTCCTCCCTCTCATGCTCTCTGTCTCTCATTCTCTCTCTCACAAATAAATAAAATCTTAAAAAAAAATTAAAAAAAAAAAGTTCATGCATACCCTTGCCCAGCTTCCTCAAAGTTAACAATTTACATAAACATAGTGCAATGATCAAAATCAGGAAATTAACCCTGGTACAATACTACTACCCAAATTATACAGCTTTCAAATTTCACCCGTTTTTACCCTAGTGTCCTTTTTCTTTTCCAAGATCCAATCTAGAACCCCAAACTGTACCTACTTGCGATGTCTCTTTAGTCTCCTTCATTCTGTGATAGTTCCTCAGTCTTCCTTTGTTTTTCCATAACTCACTACAGTCTACAAAATAAAGTCCAAATTCTTAGCATGGCCACGACCTAGAACTCACCTACCCATACAGCCTCATCTCCTGCCATTCCCCCATTCACTTTAAGTTTCTCCCAAAACAAATTAAATTACGGTTCCCAAAATGGCCATGTACACTCTCAAGTCTGTGTTTTTGCAAACGTTATTCTCTTTGGCCTTTCGCTGGGCTGACTCTCCTAGTCTGCTCAGTGTGGAGTGTGGATGGTGTCTTAGACAAAATCTTCCTGAGCAGCCTGCACTCCCTCAAGGGCACTCAGGTGACCCCTCCACCAGGAGGACCTCCACCACAGCGCTTCCCACACAGCATCACTGTCTGCTTATTGCTTGCTAGCCTCTTTTTTTTTTTTAAAGAGAAAGAGAGCACACATGGGCAAATGGGGAGGGGGCTGTAGAGGGAAAGGGAGAGAGAATCTTTTTTTTTTTTTTTT